AAAGGAACCGGATATTGTGGGTTCACGATGGCAACGTAGTAATGTGTTTGTCTGCATCCACACTTGTCTGGTTACTCTTCGCAATTTTTCATTCAGTTTTCACATGTACTTGCCTTTAAGTCTCAATGGGCAAATGCCACAAATAGTTTTGTTTACAGGGTGTGTTATTTTAACCATAACAATGATGTTAGTGAAGAAAACTGAAACCTATATTAATTTGTTAACTAATGGAAAAGAAATTATTATGTTAATATTAACATAAATTTGGAGCAAATTTAAAAGGAGTCAACTTTGTGAAATATTTTGAGGGTTCGAATGCTGTCAAAAGGATTCTGACTTTGTTTTGAGTTTAGTCAAATTTATAGTTTTATCAAATGGATTTAATCTTAGAACTTTTAAAAAAATTAAGCATAAAAATAATATACTTTATTATATAAAAAATTTTTAAATAGAGGATGCAGTAGGCTGCAACATTTTATTTGTTATTTACCATTCCTTTTTAATTTTTCACTTTTTTTAAGTTAGCTGACACTTTGGCTTGCATTTGTTTTTATGTACACATTTTAGCTAAACGTTGACTTCTTCCATTAATGATATAAATGAGTAATTAATATGAGTTTAATTTGGACTTTACCAATTTAATAAATGGCAAGGAGGATGTTTCTGTATAGAACTTAAGTTTTTCCGATTTGTGAGGAACTCGATTAAGATTATATATCACAAGCAGAAAACTTCTGAATACTTTATCCAAGTAATTAACACTATGCAAGGAATGCTGCCAGTTAATTTTTTTTTCTTTATTTAAGGATCACATTTTTCTAATTCAATATAAAAAATAAATTAAATAAAATTATAACATAAATAGCGCTCCCTCAATTTTGCGTGGTCGCCTATTTGAGAACGGATTTTAATAACGAAATATGTTTCCTACAACTTTTTCTCAACGCTACATGTCTATATAGCCTAGTTTTCAGGATATTTGGTTAATTGTTTTGAGATATCAATGAAATTTTTATGTGAACCGCCAAAACGAATTTACACCAATTAACCACAAAACTGACGCCAGCCGAGAGATTTAGCGAAGAATCATTCTTGCCAACAGATGTTACTTGGGAAATAAACCCCTCTTTCCCTTTTTCTCTCATCTTTCTCTCCCCTTTCTCTCTTCCTCCTCCTCCCTTCCTTTTTTTTTCATTTTTCTCAAATTTTTCTCTTCTTTTTCTCCCTTCTCTCTACTCTTTTTCTTGCTGTCTCCTCTCTATCTCTCTCTTCTCTCTCTATCTCGCTCTCCTCTCCTTCTCTCCTCTCTTTCTCTCACTTTCACCTCTCTTTTTCCTTTTTTCTTTCCTCCATCTGTGTCACTTTTCGCTTTAACTCTCGTTCTTCTTTTATATCTTTATATTTTGTTTATATCTATTATCTCTTTATTTCTCTCTCCTCTCTTTCGTTCTCTTGTAGCTTTGAACATTTTTTCTTCTCTTTGTTTTCTTCTGCCATCATGTCTATTCCAATCTATTGTTTTATGTCTTTTGTTAAATATTGTTTTATATAGGCATTTACTGTCTACATGACTCTTAGCTTTCTTTAAAAAAACACGTCCTTTATATGGATGAGCGAACAGTTAAAATCAAGTTCTTCTCTGATAAATAGGGACTTTCTTAACATATTTAATTTACTTATTGCTTGGATTTCCGTAGGGTTTACATATTTTCTTTGTATATATTGAAAAATCAACAGCAGGAGCATAAGATTCCACCTGCATGTCCTTGAGGTGATGAATTCCTTCTTAAAGTTTCGTCTCTGCTTTCAAGCTTAAAATGCGAACTGTAATCATTTTTTTGTCACACAAGTTGGAAAGCACATCTCTCCATCATTTTTATTTAATTTTATTATTTTTCGGTTTTTATTTGCATTTTAAAATTGCAGCATTTTCCATGTGTTTGCTTTTCATCACAAACGTAAACTCAAAATGGCGCATCGTCCTTATCCGTTGCGCAAACAGTGCGACATGCAACTCATAATTCACTTGTTTATTTGTGGCCAACTGCTGCGGTGCCTTCCAGCCGTCGCATTGTCATTGTTCACGTTTTTGCTCGTATTGTTGTTGTTGTTGTTTTTCAGTATAAATTCTTGATGAAATGAGCACACAAATGGATAGAACCTACCGACCGACCGACCTTACCTTTGCTTTAGCTCATATACAATACATAAACAAAGTTTACCTTGCGATGATATATGAAATTTTTAAAAAAAATAAAACTTTTTATTTTTATATATCTTTTTTCCTTTTATTTTTATATTTTACACATTTATGCTATGCTCTTTTTTTTAGTCTGAAATGGACTTGGCTTGCATTGTTAGGAGTTGCCACAGAAATTAAATGCGCTTCAGTAAGCCTTGAGAAGCTTTAAGGCTTAAAAATTTGCGCTCAACGTGAGAGGTTGTGAGGTAGGAAAGGTTGAAGTGATTGGAGTACTCCCTGCACTATGTGAGGTAGGCCAGCAAGAAGATCACGTAACCATATTCTTGAATAATCTCTCTGAAATTTTTTTCCCTTTTACTACTTTCTGAATACTTTCTAACGATGTTTTTATTTAAGACAGTGTCCAGATCTAATTCTATTGAAACCTCACATATTGTAAAATTAGTTTTATGAAGTTGGTTTTAATCTAAAAGAATCCAATTTCTTTTAGACATTTTAACAATAAACGGTTGGAGGCAAGATGGAAAATTATGAACGTATTTTAAGTATTAGTCTAATCTGTTATTTAGATGGTTTGCAAGCCAATCCATTAGGAAATATCACAATATTTACTCCTTTTAAATTGGTTCAACCTTTCAGAGTACACTTTGCAATAGCTTCTCTTCATAGACAATACTACCCTCTCTCAGTCCCACTTCTAATCGTTTACCCTACTGTATATGTATCGAAATGTTTTCTGATTGTTAGATTACTATTCCACGCTCTAACACTCATAAAGTAAAATGTTAACTCAAAACAACAACAAAAACACAAAAATTATTTATAACAAACCATAAAGAAATAAGAAACAAAAAACATTGTTTTGTTTTTGAAGAGTTTAGAAATTCCCAAATTGCCTCGGCAGCAAGCAACATTTCTAGACTTCATAAAGCACAACAACCAACAACAGTGACGGAGGGGCTGATATGTCGTCCCAGCAAAAACGGACGAAGAGATTGAAGTGACGCGTTAGGATGATAGCGGAAAGTCATTCCTAATGTGTTTTGCACAAGTGCGGTCATGTTCCCTAAACTTTCTGCACTGCTCCCAGCACATCCACGTGTGTGTGTTGGTCGGTACTCGTTGCCACTGTCCTGTCTGCTAACTTTTTTATGAGTTTATTCTGTTTGTTTGTTGTTTATTTTATTAAAAAAAAAAAAGGAAGGAATATTGTATTAAAATGGCATAGTAACAAAAAAGATTTTTGTTAAATAAATGAGTTGCTAAATAAAATACATTTTTGTGTATGACAGACAGACAACACACTATACGGTTAAGTCATGCGTTCCAAAAAGTTATATGCATTTTTTAATTAAAAAATTGTCATATATTTTTGTGGGATGTGTTGAATGCTTAGGCTTCATATACCATCAACCCTATATAACATTTATATACAATCAGATCATACTAAAAGAGAGTTGTTTTTACAGAAATAACAGGTAAAAATTTTATATCCCGCTTTAAGTGGAAATTTCAAGAGTGGAAAGTCCTCTTCTCTTATTATTATTGATAGTAATCAGTTTTAATCCGTTAAAATTAATTTAATGTCTCATAGGAATAAGATTAAAACGGCGATGTATATATGCTTTATTAATATTTCAATAAATAATAAATAGTCGATAACAATTATAATCGCCTATTCCTTGTCTCTTGTCAAAAACCAACTGGAACCCTGAAAATTTTGTATGAAAATATATAATAATTTTAAATAAAATACTGCAAAATATAAAGTGACATCTAGTATCGCCTAAACTCATTACATTCAAGATCAGAAATAGACGCTGTAATGAATTAAAGATCAAAATGAATAATTTTCAGTCAACTATTGTTTTTATAATATAATAATAAATAAAAAATAAATCCCTAAACTAAATGTAAGTATAATTCTACTTCAATAATATAACTAATTCCAAAATATATAATATATTAATAAAAGTTAAACAGCGACATCTGTTATCTGATTGCTATTATGAATTGATCTTTTGCGTTCAGTAATATATGTTTAGCCGCTGTATAAGTAATGCAAAACTTTATAAATATTTTCATCCCGTCTGTAGGGTAGAATAAAATTTTAACATTCAATTTAAATTTAAAAATGAATTAAAATCAAATTAATAAATAAATTTAAATATTAATAAAAAAATAATAAAAAACAAAAATTCTTGTATTCTCAAGTTCTTCATTCACGTCTAGAGTTACCAACTCTTAGTTACAATAAAAGCAGTCTTAAAGTTTATTGTGGGTTCCATAAGCTAAACATGCTAACTCCAAGTAATTGTGAGTATAAACAAGTCGTCCATCTACCAAAATCTACACAACATATTCTATGAATGTTGATATGCACTACATTGTATAAATACTTCTTTAATTGGGCTAAAAATGTATATATATGTATGCATATAAATATATGTATCGTTGGTATACTTACATATATAAATATATATTGTTTTTATTATTAAAACTCGGTCATAACGAAAATAATGCTATTTTGCCCACCTGGTCCCTACTCACCACGATGTTTGCTAAAATCGAAGCACTCTCCGAGAAATTTCGTTGTTTGTTTTGGTTTTTTGACATTAAAAATCTGTTAAGAGGATTCAAAATTTACTCTCAGTTTTTTTTCTTTATCTTCTTTGATATATACATTAATAAGTGATTGAAATTACCCCCAAGCAATCTATATTCACCACAATATAAAAAATAAAATACTGGCAACCATATTCACACCCAACAGGTTGGTGGTGAGAACCGCCAAAAATCATTCTGTCAGAATTCATTTTAGTAAAATAGCGCGGAATAGGTGCAGTGCAATAAATAAGAAAATAATTTGTGATTGTTTTTGTGTACAAAAAAAATAAAAGAAAATGTTTGAAGCTCGTTTAACTAACGCCACAATTTTAAAAAAAATATTAGATGCTATTAAGGATCTGCTGAACGAAGCAACGTTCGATTGCAGTGACTCCGGCATGCAGGTATGCATAGTCCCACGCCACTTAGGTGTAGCAGAGAAAAAAATCAGTCAAATAATAAATTTTACATATTTTTATAGCTGCAAGCCATGGACAACTCTCATGTATCGTTGGTGTCATTGGTTTTACGTTCTGATGGCTTCGATAAATATCGTTGTGATCGCAATCTTACAATGGGCATGAATTTGGGCAGTATGGCGAAAATCTTGAAATGCTGTAAAAACGAAGATACTACAACTATTAAAGCACAAGATAATGCAGATACTGTGACATTTGTATTCGAATCACAAAATCACGAAAAGGTTTCCGATTATGAGATGAAATTGATGAATTTGGATCAAGAACACTTGGGTATACCAGAAACAGAATACGCATGCGTTATACGTATGCCTTCGCTGGAGTTTGCACATATTTGCCGCGATTTGGCACAATTCAGTGATACTTTGGTCATAAATTGCACTAAGGAAGGTGTTACTTTCTCGGCATCTGGTGATATTGGCCATGCCAATATTAAACTGGCACAAAGCTCAAATGTTGATAAAGAGGAAGAGGCGGTTACCATTGAATTGCAAGAACCGGTTACGTTGTCTTTCGCTTGTAACTATTTGAATGCCTTCACAAAGGCCACTCCATTATCCACCCAAGTTCAATTATCCATGTCAGCGAACGTTCCGTTGGTTGTTGAATATCGGATAACTGATTTAGGACAAATTCGGTACTATCTAGCACCAAAAATTGAAGATGACGATAATTAATTTTAATTAAATATTTATATTACAAGTGGACTGGAGTTTGGTACTACAATTTAAGTAGTATCTGCTCTTTTTTTATATTTTATATTATATACACTTAGTACATTAATAAAAATTAAACTATATAATAATAAACTTTTTTTTTAGAAGTTTTTTGAAATTTTATGAAACCAATTGCAGAGACCGTGTTATCTTGTGCAGCTCCACAAGTAATTTCAGTTCTACTGTTAAACGTGGTTAACTCAATATATCAAGTATCATCATTCAAGGTATGAATTAGTAAGTAAGCATTACATATATGCAATTATGAATATATGTTGAGTATATGCTTAAATTTATTTTAATAATTAGTTCAACCCTCGCTCACAAAAACAATTTCTTCTTAATTAAGTTCCTATTACTTAGATATACGTCTGCTGGCAACTCTTCAATTGGGGGTGAAAATATATTTTTGAAATATATATATATAAGCATATGTCTATGTTTAAAAATGTAATAGATATTTAGTGTTTTTATACTGTTTAAAATTTTATTTGCATATTTAATTTATTATTAGTATTTTAAATACAATATTTTAAGTTGAAATTGTTAATATCAAATAGTAGACAAAAATACTCCATTCTATATTCTCACTTTGATACTTATTCCATGTTAATTGCAATAGATGGTCTCATTGAAAAATGTACCGTACAAAAACTATAAATAAGACTTATCTAAAGTTATACATATACCATTTGTTTAGTCCATTAAATGCCTAAATGAATACTCTACCGTGATATATTTGTGACTTAGGAACAACACACGTTCATGCTACAGTATTTAATGACTCTCAATGTAGGTCAAATATATGGTATACAGTAGCCACCGACATGAAACCCAAACGTGCAGATTACTTCAGGAATATATGTGTTCAATTTAATTTTGGACATTTCCACCTACTGTACTGTAGCTAATTACTGTAGTTTAAATTGTGCCTTAGGCATTATGATAAGTCACAGACCTACATATCATGAGTGATGTCCGTGTGCAGGTCATTACTTCTCTTAGAACACTTATGGCTACAGAGGTATATTATTAATTATATATTCTAAGAACGGTCGAAATTACGTTCCGCAGTTACTTGACAAGTTCGACCAACCACCAAGTGCCATTTCACACACCGGAATTGTGTTCTGGAGTCATATGTCAAGTTTGACCAACTACCAAATGCCGTTCCACACTTCCATTAGAGACAATACAAGCAGAACCGTGTGGGCTACAACTACAATGACAATTTCACTTCTTACGAACTTGTTTTTTCATATATTTAATATAATTAGTTATAATAGGAGTCATTAATTGATTCAAAATAGAAGTTGATTTATATTTTTATCATTAATACGAAGGGAAGTGAAGATTCTATAAAATTATAGATAATTGTATACTACAATATGCACTGCTAAGGCTTGAATGTACACTTTGACTATTAAATTAGATTCTCTAAATAATGTCTATCGATTTTTAATATAATAAACTTTTGTTTTTCTTTCAATATTCTTAATTAGAATTGAAGTAATTTTTTAATTATACTAATTTAAATAATTTAATTAATTCTCGTGGCACATTCTGATGTTCAGCGATCTTTATTAAAATATGTTTAGAAAATTTAAATATTTTGACAAGAACCATACATCGTCCTCGATAGTATAGTGGTTAGTATCCCCGCCTGTCACGCGGGAGACCGGGGTTCAATTCCCCGTCGGGGAGATCAAAATTTTTTTTTTTCATATTTTTATTCATTTGAATTACTGATCGAACTATACTTTATGTACTTTAATAATATTGTATTTATGTGTTTATATCATTGTAACCTTGGATATATATTCTTTCACTAGATATTGAGAATAATTAATGTTATGATTTATAGTGTCATTAATTATAATAATATATTTTTTATAACATATATCTTTAAAGTAGGAAAGTCTAATAAATGGTTTATGTTTATGGTCTGATATCTCTGCTATAAACCTATGCTGTGGCTTATAGCTTAGGTAGGTAGTTTGAAGTGACGGTCTTGTTTCCAAAACGTCCGATTGAGCTCAAATAATGGCCCATAGTGGTACCACAGGAATAGCATTGATACATTCATAGATTGAAAGATCAGTATGCGACAGTATACATATAGCTTAGCTTAGCCAAAAAAGCAATTTTTATTATAATTCGTTGGGAAATGGGTGTGCCTGGATTAGTGCAATGAAGGTAGCGGGATTTTAAAATTTCTTTTCGATGGAGTTTCACTGCCAATCAATAATTATATCCACAGTTCAAACAAAATTAAGTAAAAATGATAGAAAATAATTTAGTCTCTAGATGTATGATCCATATATTTATTTTTAAAGAATTTTATAACATATATTTTGGATCAGAGAAGGTAATGCTTTCTTAGAATATTATCTCATATCCATAGTTCATGATATATAAATGTCTATAATATTGTATATATTCGGAGAATAATGTATGCAATTAATATAATATTAGAATTAAATAAAAGTAAATTAATTTGTATTTTCGATGTAAGCTCTAAATACTTGATTTTAAAGAATTTTTATTATTATTTATTATGTATAAAACTTGTGTGTTCTTAGAGTATATCCATATTCATATTTATAGTTGATTACATAAATCTTCATAATATATGATCCGAGATATATACATATATTAAAATATATATGTAAATATAAATTATTTAAAAATAAATTTGTAGAAATAAACTTACGACTGTACGTATTTAGTAGATACTAAGTTTGAAGACACAAATAATATATCAAAAAAAAAAATTGCTCTCCCCGACGGGGAATTGAACCCCGGTCTCCCGCGTGACAGGCGGGGATACTAACCACTATACTATCGAGGACTTAGAAGATCTAATGCAGCATTTCAGTTTTATGTTTTTTAGTTACTAATTGATCTCTAATTTTATAAAGTTCTTACTACATTGGAAATTGAAACTGTTTATAATCGACTTCCTTTTTCCAGATTTCTCGGGGTTTAATAGATTAATTAGAGTAACCATTTAACGCATATGTTAGTTTAAAATGTTTATAAAAAGTAAACAAGACCGCAAACATTAAATAAGAGAAAATTCCACTCGCCGATAGAAGAACATAAAAAAGTAAACCTCACCCGATAATATTGATTTCAAAAGGACAATATTTTGACATACGCGTACCTCCCCTAAAAGCGGCGGCAATACATCAATATACATGCAAGGGTTGGTTCTATTATTTTTCTGAGGTATTCACTTCATATATATACATTTTTTTTTGTTTGGATAAATACAATACACCAGAACTATAAAGCAATAATTTTTTAAAGTAACAAACGTGCATATAAAAAACCACAAACAATGCTTATAAAATACCAGGTTAAAGCTAATTTATGCCATTTGTAGTTTTTATATCTTGCATTATTTGGTTTGGCATACTTTGTTTATACTCGTATGTATGTACGTACATATAAACTATATGTACATATAAATTTTTAAATATTTATGTTTATTTTTTTCTTCCTCATCATCAATGCCTTGTCTTTAGTTGGCGGACTTTATGGATTTGTGTGCGTGCTTCCTTTATTTGTAGTTCAGGGAGTTACGCAAAATTTATGTGTCTGGAATCTTCGGTGTACATGTGACCAACCCCTTGGGTGTATTTTAATATTATAAACACCGCACAAATGTCTAAACAAAATAATGCTATAAAAACTACAAATGGCAAAGTAGCAGCTAAAGTAACACTTAAGTTCAAAGCGGTACAAAACCAAACAAAACAAAAAAAAAACAGTATAAAAAATATGTGTAACATAATGTGCAGCGTTAAAATAGCAAACTAATGAGAATTAATGGGGATTATAGCTGCCATTTAGTAAAAAATAGAAAACAGAAGGGTTACTACTGGAAGACTACCAACAGCAGCAACAGCAGATAAACAATCTGCTTAGAACAGCGGTTGGCGATTCTTATCTGCATTTTGTTCTTATTAATTTATGCTGCAGGCACAGGTTGAGACTTAATTTGTTTATGGTAACTGTATATATGGTATTTGTATGTTCAATCTAATATGGAAACTGGTGTAATACCATAGTGTCATAGTAGTGTAGGGTATAATAGTGTTAAAGTAACGTCAATATACATATGTTAATTAACTGGTAGTATTAAGACAAAAGCAAGGTGGTGAGGAGAAATTTTACAAAGTTGTTGCATTCCCGGCATCAAAAAGATTAAACTAATATTAATTGCTACTATTAGTTTTTTTTTGTCAAATAAGTTGTAATTTATCTGTTTTACAAATCGAAGTTATAGTCAGTGCAGACCTATAATTAAGTTTTTGTTATAGTTCGGACTTGTTTGTGTTATTTTTGACATTGACATCTATATCTATTTTGCTATATTTCATTAATATTTTTTGTTTTTGGAAAAGGGATCGCAACCATTGAAAACGGATTGATTCTTAAATAAAAATTAGCGTAGTTGAAGACGTACTGATTACTGTTTATGCTGTTATAATATTATCATGTCCCAAAGAATATATAACTTTTTAATTGTAGTGAGACCAGTTTATTGGCAATTACAACCATTGGTAAGGTGAACCACAACTCGTATTCAACTGATTTGGTGCCATGCAACCTTTGTTTTTTTGCGAATAAAATCTATTTTATTTTATTAATAAAATCTATTTCCCGATAAAAAGAAGTTATATTGTGAACATAGAAAGTAAAGACTTCTATCGATGCCTTCTGCTCAAAAAGTACTCGGATTTTGTAAATAAAACACACAAATTTAAATTTTATTCCAAATTTATTTTATCTCCTTCAAAATAAGCTCCTTCTGAAGCGATACACATATGCCAACACTTAACCCAATCTTCCATACACTATTCGTAGGCCCGTAAAGGTATGGCGTTTATTTCCTTCAGCGAATAATCTTTTACCGATTCAATCTACTCAGAATGCTTACCACGAAGAAGCAATTTGAGTTTCGGGAACAGGAAAAAGTTGCACGGATCGAGATCTGGCGAATATGTTGCCATGAAGGTATGGCTTTTAGTTCCTTCAGCATATT